CATGTGTGTGTGTGTTTATGTTTGTGTGTGTGTGTTCGTCTGTCCGCGTACTTCAGCTCGGCAACCAAGCAAGTTCCAGCGCCAAGATTTTGCTAATGGGTACCCAGGCCAAGTACCACCCCAGAACCGTGGTATCATCCCTCACGCACGTGTGGGCCGCGCGCTTGAGGCTGTGGTTGGGGCGCTCGACAGCTGAGTTTAAAATCTCTAGCTCGCGCGTGCGTAGAGATTATCCCTGCAAAGTTTTAGCTTTCTATGTTGCCTGGTTCGCGAACTCGTTTCCCACCAACATATTTTTTTGGAGGCCCGTACGCGGGGTCTAGGCGCGTATGGGGGAACATCTTGAAACCGGAGGATGGCACACGGGGTAGGAACATATGCCCAACATTTCAGCCTCCCAGCCTTCCAGGCTGCTGAGATGAAAGTGGATGACAAAATGCACTCGCTTCCACACACACACACACACACACACACACACACACGCACAGACACACACACACATAGCCTTTCGACAGTATGCGTTTTTGCTGGCTGTAGCGCTGCACAGCAAAAACGCATAAAAAACATTTGATGCAAACGAAAACAAATGCGAAAACTGAACGTGATGGTTAGAGCGATGATTATTATACGCTTTCGCATATGCACAAGTGCAAAAACACGTATTGTGACGATCCATGGTGTGCGTGGGTATGCTTGTTCGTGTGCATGTGCATATACGTCTGGGCGGGTACTTCAACTCGGCAACCAGGCGAGCTTCAGTGCCAAAATTTTGCCAGCGAGTTCGTCCGCCAAGCGTCACACCAAGACCGCGGTACCAGTTCTCACGTACGTCTGGCTCCACGCACAACAAGCTGAAAGTTTTGATAGAAGACAGCTAACTCGGAAACCAAAAAAGCTGTAAAGCCGGAATTTTGAGCGGGATTTCCCCGTGCGCGTAAAATTCAAAAGTTTCAAATTCAGCCCCCAAATATGCTTGGTTTTCAAGTGCGGCCCTGCGGAATTTTTTGGCGGGAAAATTGCTAACTCGGGAACCAAGTAAGCTGGAAGACTGAAATTTTCAGGAGATTTTCCCAGCCACCCCACAACTTAAAGGAATAAAATTCAGCCCAAGAATTGCGTGTTTGTAAAGTACGACCTCGTGAATATTTGGTGAGAAAACTGCCAACTCAGGAACCAGAAAAGTCGGAAAGTTAAAATTTCAACGAAATGTTCTCTGCCTAAATACCGCGTAGTTGCACAATTAACTTCCCGAACTTCGAAGACCAATATGTTGCAATTTCAAACAACTGGGTTCTGTGTGATCTCTCTACAACACGAACTACTGCAAAACACATGATCGCACGGGCCCGCCTGGTGCGCGTCGCCAATGATCAAGGAGAAAACATCGGGCAGCTCTTGATTCTTCTTTTGATACAAAAAACAAAGCTAATTTTTTCCTCGCAAACAAAAGAATGATTTTTTTTTTTTACAAATCAGGAAGCAGTTTGGACGACCACTCGCGCAGAACCAACTAATACAACT